GGAGACCGAGGGATAGGGGGAGAGCCAACGAGAAGGAGAGAACGAGACAGAGAGAGATACAGAAAGAAATGGAGACAGAGAGAGAGAGATAGAGACAGAGAGCGAGAAGGGGGGGGGAACGAGAGATGGAGGGAGAGCCGAAGAGAAGGATATATATATATATAGAGAGAGAGAGGGAGGGAGAGAGAGGGAGAGACGGGCGGACGGACAGGCAGACAAATCGCGGCCAGACAGAAGAAGACAGAGTAGCTCAGTATCACAGGAAGAGGCCTAGCGTTCGTTGCACGCAAAATGGGCGGAAGAGAGGAGGTGGGGGAAGCATAGATGTCGTGATTTATTCGGGGGCGGGAAGGCAGCACTGAGGAGCTGAGCGGAAGAGCCACCACTATTCCAGTCGAGCGTCCTCGATATGACCGGTGGGCGGTAAAGGGGTTCAGGTCTCAGGGTGGGTGGACTCTCTTGGCACAGAGAGACAAATCAAGACGTATTTCGCTAAACAGTGGGGGACCCGGTCTATTGGAGCGACCCCCTGCCTAGCGACATGCCCTGTTTCGCGGCCACAACACCACGTCACACCGCCGCACCCCGGTAGTATAATTGCCATACAATTGGTAGTTCGGTTTGGCGACCTCCCCTGAATAGCGGCCACTTCTAGTCGTGACACTGAGGGGTCGCTAACCGGAGCAGTGTGTGCATGATTTGAATAGGGCGGGCGGGTGGATGCCAGCGATGTGTACTTCGGAGGTGACTTGGCCTGGACAATACTCGTCCTGTTCTACACGGAGCATCGACGGTGCCAACCGGCCAACCAACGAACGACACGTCAAGCACCAATCAACCCTCCTCCGAACGAACCTACAGTTAAAGCCCGCACTTGAGAACCTCTCATTTTGCCCGAGGCTTGTGTCTTATGTTGTCAACAGGTACAGCAGAGGGCCCTGTTAAGTGTCGGTAGGTGCCCAGAATGTTCACCTTCACTAAGCCGGACCGGCACTATTCAAAGTACAACAACGACTTGGCATGTGTTTTAGTGTGTGCGACCCCGAAATACCGGTCTGTACCTCACACCGGCACTCCTCAACAGGCACAAAACAGGGACCTCATTTGTATTCCCACGGCGACTATGTAAGTTTTGTGTGGGTAGTCTCCTTGGCCGAGCACGTGTTTTCAAGGTCATGTTCTTTCTTCTTACTATTTTGTTTGCCGTCCGACAACTTTAGATAAATGCAGACATACATAAAAAGTCGATCGTAAAGGCCGTCATGCCAAGCCAAATTAACTCATGTTCTTTGCGTTGGGAAATTTCGACGCTCAAGTCCTCAACTACTGTACCACGTTGTTAAGTGCGGGCCGGTTCTGTAACTGATCAGGAAAAAAACGTTTGTTTTTCCTGTAGACAACAGAACGAAACTGCTGTAGCGAGGGGGGCGGTTTAGTGCGTATTGAGTTTTGCCAGTGCCCGGCGTTGTGCCGAGCTATTCTCTGAGCACCCACCGACTACGGTATGTTGCGTAAGGTACCACACCCCATGGACCGATTCTCAAAGCTTCATGACTCAGTGAAGGTGGCGAAAAGGGTGGCGTTGGAACCGTTCCGTCGAGAGTTTTCAAACACTTACCGTCTGATTTATGCATACTCTTGGTCGAGCTTGGAATATCGGTACAGGGGATGAGGTATCTTGTGCAACCTGCTGTAAGCAGCCCGCCCCCACTGCGCAGAAGACATTGGCTGCATTTGATTTCTAGAAAGGTTTACTCTTCTTCGCTTGGTTGACTTGTGACCACGGAAGAAGTCTCCGTCAGTTGAACCAGTACGAACATTAAGAAGGTAGGTAATAGTAGAGACCGGAACGATTTTGAAGATGACGACAACAACAGCAGCAGCAACAACAACAACAACAACAACAACAACACCGTCTGTGTTGAGAATGTCCCGTGCGCCCACAAAACAACAGCAAAACACATTCATCATCGACTCTGGCTTCGGATGACTCTAAACGTACATGTACTCGACATCACGTAATAATATACAAATACCAGGGTACACAACAGCAGTAGTTGACCTTGCAGCGGCAGAAACTCGACATCCACGTATCAACAAGCGCCAGTTCACTACAGTTGGACCTTGCAGCGGCAAAGCTTGCGAGTGTTTCGGCTCTCGACTGCCTGCTGTCATTCGTTGATCTAAATGTGCATGTGCATGTACAGCAGTTGTTCATGTGCGTGGGCTTTCACCGCTGTCGGTGGACCTAACTACAGCTACGCAGTAGATTGAAGGGAAGGAACTTTTTTACAAGCAATCCGTGACTTGAAGACCAGACGTGATCTATTTGTCAGGTTGCACTCCACTGCGAGAAAGGCCATGCCCATTGCAGTGCTGTACGGCATAGCCTACACATGTCCTTCGATGCATCAAATCAACCGGGGAGGATATGTGCACAAGAACAAGCTGCGGTACGTGTTTGCACAACTTTTGGCTCGATAGACACGGCCTCCATGAGCGTTGTTGTGCTGAGTTTTACGGACGTACAGCCGGCGGACAGCGAACTCCCGCCGCGCTACTGCTGTACCTACTCCGAGCACCGCTGGGTACCAGGGCCTTAGTTCTCGTGTCTTCGTGCGAAGGCTGTCGCCTGCTGCTGGAATCACGGCACAACATACCTCTGACAGAGTGCCGTCGATGACCCACTCCGCTTTCCCTCTGCCGAGCGTCCGTTGCAAGGCCACAGCAGGGCAGATAATCCATTACGAGGACGCAGCAATGCCGTAGGTACCGTCGCGCGCAGAATCATGACAGCAGCATAGCCTCCACGTCACCACACATCTCCAATCGCCTTGCTGGGCAGCCCCCGCTGTGCGCTGCTGCCTTTGCTCTCCCGCGGTCTCTTTGTCTGCTTGAGGTTGGCTGCTCTCTTTCGATCGCGTTTGGCTCTCTCTCTCTCTCTCACTCTCTCTCTCTCCCTCTCCCTCTCTCTCCCTCTCTCTCTCTGGGCGCTCAACCCATAAAGAAATTTGGAACCGCTGCTGTGCTCTTTCGCACAAGCAACATCACGCCGACCTCCAGATTTTTTCTCGCGTTTGTGTGCATGCACCTGCGAGCCTGTGAGCAGTGGTACCCACGAATATACAGCAGTTGACAGCAGGGTTTACATGTACGTACATGGCATCAGAGGGGGCGGGACTTGTAACAGGGGGCAGCAGCAGCAGCCTCAACTCACAGGGTTTTGCGGTGCCTCACAGCAGGTGTAGCGCAGAATAATTATCACAACGCTATGGAAAAGAACCTGGTCGCAGAACATTATTACCGCATGATTTACTCTGTTCGGTTGCTGACTTCTCCCTCTTGACACGCGACAACACTGCTGCTGTAGGCTCTGGACAGGTTGCTCGTGCGGGCCGTACTCAGGGATAGGGATGCCTGGCGAGCCCAACTGTGCATGTGCGAGACCTATGATGTTGTATCCACATGCATCTACAGCGCTACATGTTGGAATTCTTTCATGTGGAACCAAAAAAAAGGTGAGAGGATGAGAATTTTTTACAGCTGGCAACTTTGTGTGTGCTTTTATTATTAGCATCGACTGCGCTAACCGGCTGACGGATGAAATGTGTGTGTGTGTGTGGGTCCCTTGGGCGCCTTGGCGCAGGGATCCCGCTGGTGCCAATCCGCGCCTTTCGTTCGTGGAGACTACGGAGAGCCTTCACCAGAACAAGGAATGGAGGAACCCCATCGTACTCTCGGGGCCTCTCTCTACTGCCGTGCGTGTTAGTACATATAGCGCCCGCACTTAAGAACTTGGCAGCTAAGAAATTGAAACTCGAAAAAGTCACAAGCTACGAACTAGGGCATCATTTGTGCGCCCAGTTAAGAACCCCCACACTAAAACCTATTATAGTGGCGATTTGTAGCCCACAAGAGGATGATCGGCAACATAAGAACCCCAACCTCGGCCGAGACTGGAGGTTCTTAAGTGCGAGCGCCATCTGTAGTACACGCCTTACCCGTTCCATGCCATGCCTTTTTTGAATAAGGGAAAACGCGGGGAAAAAATCCAGTAATTCTGCGTGTGTTGGCCGCGACCCCGCCCCACCGTTTCGCCGCCGCCTTTGAGTCATTTTTCATTCCGCAGCTTGTTGTGGGGTCTCCTGACGGTGATCTGGTTATTGGTGTTGCTTGCCCCTGTGTGCATCACGACTTCTGCTCCCGCCCCCCGCCGCACAGCAACCTTATCACCCGCCGCCGGTGCAACATCTACACCACCTCTCCTGGAGACAGACGCTCGGCAAGCAATTAGCACCGTGCGGGAGAGCTCTCTGACCATATTCCGGAAGGCCCGATCGACACGGCGCGGTTGCAGTTGCTCACTGCTGTGGCAGATAAGACTTGTTGTACCTGGGCGAGGTTGGTTGTGCAGCTACATACAGCAAACAACCGATTGCTTGGTAACATTAGTCACTACTGCTGCGTTGTTGGGAATTGCCACATTACAGCGAACGGCGCGACTAGAAGGTCCGAGACAAGCACCGCCATCGCCCTCTCGTTCGACGACCATGGCAACATCATTATCATCATCCTGTTTTGGTGGCAGCATCAACCGGTTGCGGCTGTGTGCGCCGCTCTTGATGCTGTTGCTCATCACGATCCGGCAGCTAGCGGACGCAAGGACGTTCGATGCGTCCCCCGACGGCGTGCCGTACTCCATCGCCAGCGCCTTGGCCGAAGGTGAGTGCTCCTGTAGAGTAATAGCAGGCGTGCCAAGATTTCCCCCGTGGGCAAGTTGGTCTATCTTTGTTGCTGCTTTTGTTTTTTCATGTTCAAAGGTTCAAGTTTTTCGTGGAGACCATGAGTGAGGTCCATTGTTTTTTGGGGTCCGCCCCATCCTCTCTCTTCGCGGAAACGGTTTCGAACTTTGAGACAGAGCGGAGGGGCGATGATGCACGCGGAGGTAGTCTCCGTTGGCTGGCGACCTGATACATGGCTTTATTTTTATCGTAAACAGCACACCTACCTGTTTTCCGTCGCGTCGTAGATAGCACTTCCGACCTGTTTTCCGTACAATAATAGCGTGATTTCGTTCGGCCGTGGTCCATCCCTCATGCGCAGCGGAAGCAGATAAATACATACACACCTTTTGGTTGCGAGTCGGCGCACCAGGGTGCGAGCTTATTTTCAGAGCGTAACTTCTCCACGACCAGGAGGTTTCCACTGTCGAAAAGGGCGGTTTTGGAAATATCTCATCGAGAGCTTCCTGATAAGTATCAGTTGGTGCTCGTACCCTCCCGGTTCTGGAGAACTTGCGCTTTGAAAATGGACCGCAGCCCTATGCGCTGACTCGCAAACTTACCGTACCTGGTTCGCGTACACGAGACTCGGGTGCAGCCCTCCTCTCTGTTTTGTTAAGCCGCCTACAGGACTGACCATTTGCTCGACCCCATTTCGTCTCGCCTCGCGACTGACGTGTTGGGCAATCTGCACGCTGCCAGTAGTACGGATATTAGGTGGAACTGAGCAGAGGTCGCAGCGGTCGTTTTTTTGTTGTTGGACGACAACGAGACCGGTAAGACTATACCCAGAATGGCCGTATGACGAGCCGATACGACTTTTCACCTCAAGAACAGTGCTGCACTCGATACAGTGTGCCACCAGAGTGTTGGGATGCTGGAGGGTGCAGTGGGCAGAGATGGGAACGGGAGTTTTCAAAGACAACAACAACAACAACAACAACAACAGCAACGGCAACAACTCTTCCAGCTCCCTTGCAAAGGCGGTTTATCTGTCTGTCTGACTCGCTCTCTCTATCTTTACCTTTTGCTCTCTCTTTCTCTCTCTCTCTCTTTCTCTCTCTCCTTTCTCTCTCTCTCTCTCTCTCTCTCTCTCTCTCTCCCTCTCTC